CAAGGCTCCTCTTGGTCTCTGTGGAGCCTGAGCTCTTTGGTGCTGCTGCAGGGTGAAGGGGAAAGCAAGTTAAGTTCACTATCTCTCCCCACGGCATGGTGAGGATCATTTATTAGTAAAACCTTTGAGGCACACGGCCTGGAAGAAAAATGGGCCCCTTTCTCATGGCGTGCGAGTGATTCCCAGTCAGAGGTGACCGGCTGCCCTCCTCCATTTCATTCTAGATTTGTCCCTGACTTTTCAAGTGAGCCTGGCTCATCGCCTCTGCTCCTGTCTCTTCACTCCGCCAGCCAGCTCACACAGCCTCCTGGGCCACAAGACTCTTCTTCCTTCCCCGGTTTTATAATAACATTCCGGAGCTTGGGTTTAAATGCAGCCTCTTGACCTCCCTGGGTCCACAGAAGGGGACAACCTGGCGATTGCTCCCCCAACCCCCTTTCCTCGTCTGTTCACTGAAGGGATACTATCAGTGTTTACTGTTTTGTGTCAGGCGCTGACCGGGAAGATAGCAGTGTACCAAATGACCCCAGTTTCCCATGTCAGGAATGTCTTCTGTAGCCCGCTTTCTCTCCCACTGCAGGCACCCGCTGAGAGGCCACCATCCTGGGGAGCTTGCTGTGCACCAGGTGCGGCTGTGATACTAGGGAAGCAGAAGTAAGCATCTAGGAGATACAGAGAGGAAATGGGGCCACACCCATCCTTCTGCCAGCAGCCCACTCCCACAATAGCTAGCCCCCTCCCTTGGAAACGAAGTGAATCTATTCACAACTGTAGAGCCCTCAGAGCTCGGTCACCACTTAAAGGAACTGCTCAGTGCTGTGACTGAGGTAAGTAAACTTCAATCTGAGTGAGCTCTGATAGGGTGTTCAAACCAGAGCAGTCATGAAAGGAACATTAGGGTGGGTGGCACTGGCTTAGCAGTCAGGGACATCTCTCATGAGGTGGTCTTTGGGCAAGGACTTGAAGGAGGCAGAGGTCAGTGGGCGCGCGCATGCTCAGCTTCTGGGGGTGGGGTGGGGCAGCACCAGCCTTGGTATCAATCTTTGCAGATACCTTTCGGAACGGTTAAGAAAGTCTCCATGGTCTTGTCCTACGTTTGAAGACATTAGGTCTCAGAGAAACACTCGTCAAAGGAATGGAATCAAGCTCAGTCAGCAGGCATGAAAGAGTCCAGAGTCTCCCATGGTGGAACCCCTAAGCTGTGTCACAATGTTCTGGTCTCAGCAGACCAAAATACTTGATAACACAGGCCTTCTATGCATACATGGTATCCTGCTGAAGCACCTTGCCCCCCCCCAGCTCTGACATTCACTTATGTGTGAACCTAAGGCCAGTGGTCAGTAGCTGTGTGTGACTGTAAGTAAATGCCTGAAGTTCTCCGTCCTTCCTCATCTGTAAGACAGGGGAGAATCCCAGACCCCACTCGTGGGTTCAAGGTGAGTTAGAAGTGAGCAGCGCCCTCACACAGGAAAATCCACGATCCTAGCAATGTACTACATTCTCTGTCACTCTGGGCATTTAGGAACTGAACCAATGAGGATATGGCAATTGGCCTGTGAACCCCCTCCCCCCAAAAAGGGGTATTGAAATACGAGCTTGAGGTTCCCATAAATGTGACCTTATTTGGAAGTTAGGTCTTTGCAAGTACAATCATGTTAAGATGAAGGGATATTCAGTCCGGGCAGACAACAATCAGATCAGCTCCTACGCTTAACAAGAGAAGAACCACAGGAAGAGGCCAGATGCAGAGTGGTACAGCCATGAACCAAGCATCAGTGAGGATTCTTGCATTTCCAGAAGCAGAGGGAGAAGGAGGCAGGGAACAGGTTCCCCACAGAGCCTCAGAACAGAGACCACCCTTTCAACATCATGACATCACTAAAACAGTGAGAGACATGTTTCTGGTGCCCTAGACCACCCAGCTATGAAACTCAGTTACAGTGTTTCTAAGACACAAACATGAGTGACATGAATTAGCCTTCTGAAGAGCAGGGTGTCCTCTGGGAAGAGATCAGTACTCTGGCACGAGCTCTTCAAAACCTTCAGATCTTTTGCTGGTGACTATGGTTTGGAGTGTAGGTTCAGAGAACAGCCCCCAGACCTGGTTTGAGAGCAGAGGGAGGAAACTGAAGGAGTCCCTGACTGAACCCTAAAAGAAAGCCTCTTCCAATATGTGACTTCAACCCTACAACTTCCAAGGGGAACATTTTGGAGCTCAGCCCTAGCTTCCTGATTTAGACAAAGAGATTTCACCAGCCTGTCTGGACATCACGCCTACATTTTTGAAGCCACCTGGCTAAGGGCAGATGGAGTCTGACATGCGATCTGTAACTGAAGCCTACATTGTAACACACAAGGGAGGAAGAATCATAGCTGTCTGGGTATAATACAGTCCAACATGCCTGAGGGCTGACTCAAGATGGGGCACATTCCACAAAGCCCTGCAATCTCCAAGCTCCCAGTAAAACTTTTAGGACAGGCAAAAATGAGACAGCACAGGCCGGTGCAGTGTAGTTTCCCTGTGGGTGTTTCCATTGACGGCACCCACAGTGAATGGGAATGAAAGTGAGCTTGGATCTTCCGGCTGTTGAAAGCAGTGGCTTTGGAGCCTTGCAGATGTGGGGTCAAGTCTGGCTCATCGACGCCGGAGGGGCCACTTCCAAACTCTGTGACTCTGGCTTCTTTCCTTCATAAAACGGGACGTGCTCCTGACATCCTGTGCTCTGAATGTGCTTGTAAAGTATTGAGCCTAATGCATGACTCATTCTGAATGCAGGCAAAGTGATAGCTCTTAAGATTGTTACTTTAACTTCCCTAGCAATACCTTACCATCAGAGACCTGCTATTGAACAGTGTCACGAACCCTGGCGACTCTAAATCTCTTTAGAACATCTTTTGATGCCTTATAAAAGAGCTTCCTGGCTGGTAGTGGCTCATGCCTTTAATCCCAGCACTCGGGAGGCAGAGACAGGTGAATCTCTCTGAGTTCAAGGCCAGCCTGGTCTATAGAGCGAGTTCCAGGACAGGCTCCAAAGCTACACAGAGAAACTATGTCTCAAAAATAAAAAAATAAAAATAAAAAGAGCTTCCCAGTGCCCTAAGTTTAGGGAAAGGTGGCCCTGTGAGATGACTAGGGACACAGCATCTAAGGCTGGCATTCCAAGTCTACCTCTACCACCAGCTTTAAATCCTTGAGATAATTAGTCACCCTTTCCGCTAATAATTGTGGCCCCCACAATCACATCTTTCTGCCTTGCAGTGCCTCAGTCTCCTGATCTGGGACATGATGATACTGAAGATGAGGATGGTACCCTTGTGTATAGTGGTCATTAGACATGCATGTAAGGTGCACGGCAGAGAGTCTGATTCGCAGCCTGTGCTCAGTAACGAACTGTTAACGGACAGCTTTCGCCCTTGGGTTTAATTCTACCATGTCTCCCCATAAACTGCATCTCATTTAGCCCCAGGATCCAGCCAATAATCAGCCATCCATCACCATGGAGTGGGGACAGGCTTCCCTGGGCATGCAACCATGGCTCTGCTCTTGCTCAGGGACCTCCCTCTTGGTGAATGCTCTGAAATGCCCATCATAAAAGTCTCACGGTTTTTTGAGCAAGAGCCCCATAACTTCTTCATTATACACTGGGTCCTGGCAGTTTATATAACCTGCCTTCCCAAGCAACGCTGGTTTCTTGTCTTCCTGTGTAAGCAGGGCCACTCTCCAGACCCTGGTTCTCCTTCATCCCCATCTTCCACAACACCCAGCAGGTTGTGCAAGCTTGAGGCTCCCGAGTTAAGGTTACATCCTTCTATCCTGTCCCTCCCGTGCCTCTTCCGGTTCCCCTTTCTCTCCAACTCCTTGTACTTCTGCTTGGCAGCTGAGCTCACGACTGTGTGGCTCTCTCTATACCTGTGGCTAGGGACTCACCACTTCCCTAAGGTCATCCCTCTGTTTCTTCACGGGTGGTGATAGAAGAGCATCCTGGTTGACTTGCAATGATGAAAATGGGTACCGTTTGTGATGGAATGAAAGTCTATAAAGACTGTAGAATATGAATTCCAGTTTTCTGAGCTTAGGATTGAGGTGAGCTGGAGGGGGTGGGAATGGGAGTTGGCCATGCACCCAGCTAGAGAATTTACCCCCTGCCACTTCCCTGAGGAAAGTCATGTCACACTTCTCTTTTCTCTTAGGCAATGACTCAGTGGTTTGGTTGTCAGCAAGCACAGCGGTTGCCAGGGATGCTTTAGTCCTTTGTATGATAATTTGCAGGTTAAACTAAGTAGCTTCACAATGAAATGAGGCAGTGTGTACCTTAGGATGCCCAGAAAACAATACTACGTCTGCATTGCAGACTAACCTCTATAAGAACAGAAGCCAGAACCAGCGAGGCAGTGCTGCAAAAGTAGCTGGTGTCTCCAAAGCAGGGCTGCGCCTGGGAAGGGAGAGCATCACCACTTCTGGAATGAAAAGAGGAGGACAGCTCAATTCTGCAAGGCCTGAGACCTGGGGGCCCCTGAGGCCAGAGCTAAGCCAAGACTACTTCAGTGTAGAGAGGAGTATGGCCTCGAGAGTCTCTTCATGCCGCCTTCCTGCAGGGAAGCTGGGTTCTTGCAGTAATGTTGAGACTCCCAAGGAGATAAACCTCTCATTTCATACCAATCAGTCTAGCGCTTGCCTGGAAGACCTGCTCCTGAAGCATACTTTTGGCTAGCTCCTTTGATCTTAACAGGGTCAAAATTCCCTCCAAGTTATCCCTTTAAGCAGGGGGAATGGAGGTTCACCCTAAGGGTGACAACTCACAAAAAAGACAGCGGTATCCAGGTTCTGTTTCAGCTACCTCTTATTCTATGGACTCAGAGGGTTGGGAGTGGGGCTAGTTTATTTGTGGCGGGTGACAGTCTGTGAAGGACAGTACATTAGCCACTGTGAGCCTTGGCAACAGGAAGGCCTGCTGTTGGAAGTCAACTCAAACACTGCAGAGCCAGAAGGTCAGCTGTTCTAAGTGCACCACACCCTGGGATGTGAAACTGGGACTTGTTCCAGAAAGAGACTGTGGTCAGATGGGCAGGGCATCAACAATCCCTGAGGCTGAGCCCTGGGTAGAGCCTTTAAGTCAGCTGCTCGTCCTGGGCCTCAGGAACATGCTCAGACCTCGCCCTGTAGAACCGAAGGGGAAAAGAAGAGAAGCCCAGCTCCCACCAGGTACTGATGTGGCGGCAAGAAGAGGCCATAGGACCCTTCCTGAGTCTTATTCCCTAGCCACCCACTCCCTGGTTGAGTGTGGACCCGCCAACTTCTCCCTCCTACTCTGGTTCCTCATTCCTAACTCTGGTCTGCAGCGGCGTCCTAAGGGAACACCCAGTGCTGGTTTTTGATGATTTGAGTTTATGGTGTCCTGAGCTGTAGATAGCACGTGGGGGAATAAGGATGCCATGGAGCGCTGACTGGTGATTTCCCCTGAGAGTCCGGGGCCTTGGGGAAGCACAGGAGACAGGCAGCTTGGGTCTGCATGTCAGCTGTCAGCAGAGAGCTTGCCAGAATTCTGTGGAGGAGGCAAGATGAGCTCATTAGACTGACCCGTGTAAATCGGTGCCTTTCACAGCTGAGTGTCCCGGAGAATGGAGGGCTGAGTGGGAAATCCTGTGTGTGAAAGCCAGCCTGATATCGAAATGAGGCTATTGGAGAATATTTAATGACATGGAAAAATGTTCCATGAAAAGGTGAAAAAAGCAGTTACATAAAGCAGCATATGTGGAATGATCCTCTTATGGTGGAGAAAAAATATTCCCTCTAAAAGTAGATATGTGTGAACACACGCACACACACACACACACACACACACAGCCTTTTCCTTAACGAAGACACTACCCACAGACCTGTTGAGTGGCCAGTTCTCAGGCAACCATGGTTCACTTTACACAAATCTATGGAGGCCTTCAATGTCAGTATTGAAGACTTGGGAGTTACTTAATTGGAAGGCAGAAAATAAAGTTATATTTGAAATAAACTTGGATCCACATCAATCAGCCACATAAGGAGTGAGGAGGGTCTGGAAAAGTCACTGATCTCTGGCTTTCTTGCACCAATTTCTTACCCAGCAGGGACGGTTAAACAGGATGTGAAATCCATGGGTTGGCCTGTGGCCTGTGCAAGGAAGATCTGAACTATTGAGTTTCTTCCCGGTGCATTTGAGCTGAGAAATTAGTGGGGAGCTGTCAGTGGGCAACTGGAAGGAGTTTAAAGACAGACAGCTCTAGCCAAGTAAAGGCCACGGGGAGTCACAGATGATGCACACTATGAGGATAGAGACATTAAAATGAATAAGCAATAGTCATTAAAAGACTGAGTTCCAACTTGAGGAAAAGATGAGCTCAGCGGAACAAAAGGTGCACCAGAGAAAGTACGAGATGGTGACACTGCGGATCGCGTTGGAGTTCGCTTAGGAGCAAGCTGTGACAGTGGCGGGGTGCAAGTGACTTACTTAGGAAGTGATCCCAGGAAACTCCAGCAACGGAAGTGACTGGGAGGAGGGAGCAGTCAACAAATGGCACATTACCGCACCAGCTACAGAAGTGAGCAACCGGAACTCCATCTAGGGAAACTTACGGGTCTCCATCTCAGAGTGGTCCCCAGCCTAAGGGTCACCGCTACAGGCACTGCTGAGAGTCACCGGTTGAGGATTGTTCCTGTAGCAGTGGACCCCTGACATGAGAACCCTGTGCTTGTGGGAAGAACTGCCTTCCAGGGCTCTAGGAAAAAGTCCCCAGGCAGAGATCCAAACCCTCTGAGCTGCGACGATGACCCTGGGCATGGGACAAAGCCCACTCAACAGTCTCTGGGGTAGAGTGTTGGCCCACTCAAAGCCCACTCAACAGTCTCTGGGGTAGAGTGTTGGCCTTGCCCAGACAGAGGCTCCTCTGCAGCCTGAGAGATGGTGAGAGGCCTTTGAGCTCTCTCGGAGCTGTTGCGTTGATTTTGATTTCCCAGAGCTTCCTTCTTTGGCTTCATTATAGAAAGCCTCAGGGGCCCGAGCTAACTGGAAAGAACCAGACTGAACCCCAATGTGTAATGGGAAGTGAGGAAAGGAAGAAGTCACACCCTTTCCAAGAATGTGGGTCTCCTCAGCCGCCCACAGACTGTCCTATATTACAGAAGCTTTAGAAGATTAAGAGTCCTTGGGTAGGTTCTTAAATTATGCAGAGGGTGGATTATTTAACATGTTCCCTCATCTCCTCCTTAACTCCCAGTGATGTGCTAAGAAATTCTGGAGCTGTTCCCCAAGCTGGGGATTGAGAAGCCCCACAAAGTTCCTGAGCCTGGTCACTATCAACGGCTCACTACAGCATTGTGGGATGGACATCATCATGTCAACTACAAGCCAGGCATGACTTAACAGACTCCACGGGACATTATAGTCTAAGACAGGTTTGTGTATGAGAATTCTCACAGAGGCTTTTGGCCTGGGCCTGGTGATGTGAGGATACATTCACCAGGAGGGGGAAATGGGGCTTGGAGGAATCGGGACTGACTGAAGCAGAAAGGATGGTGAAGCAAAGGCCCTGAGCTGAGCCGATGGAGTGGCGCACACCTGTATTCCAGCGCTAGGGATGCAGACGTGAGGATCAGGAGTTCAAGACCAGCTTCAGCTACCAGCAAATCTGATAACATCTGGGTCTCTACAAGACCCTACCTCAAGAAAAGAAGAAGAAGAACAACAACAAAAAAACCCCTGAGCCGGGAAAGAGTCAAATAGTTTTGAGAACAGACACAGACATCAAAGTCCGAATAGGAGATGAGAAGAGTGAAGATCTCCCTCTCCTACCATGATGTCAAAGGCTTCACATCTTGGATGGATTTGAATTTCACAGAAAATTGGGATTCCCAAAAAGTTGTTCATGGAGCTCTTGGAGGTCAACCACCTTCCATTCATGAGCTTTTGGTGGACATTTTTTCCCATTTTTTTATTTCATTTCATATTCCAATCACAGTTTTCCCTCCCACCCTACCTCCCACCCCCCTTGACTCCTCCCATCCACCCCACTTCCCCTCTAACCCACCCCCAGTCCACTCTTCCTCACAGGTAATTGGTGGGACTTTTTTGATTCAACCCGTAATAACAGCCAACCTTGGGTTAACTGAACAAAGGTCCCCGGCATTGTGGTCTAAGGTTCAGCAGGACATTGGAGGAGCTGCAGGGGGATCTACATCAATGTGTAAGTTGTTTTTCTTGCCACTCTAACCAAATATCCAACAAAAGCATCTTAAGGGGTTTATTTTGGCTCAGAGTCCAGAGGAGTGGGGTCCATCATAGAAGAGGGAGCACAGCAGAGGGACCACAGATGTTGAGGGTGGGCCTTTCCTCTTCAGTTATACCTTTCTGTAAATCTCCATAACAATACACAACCTGAAGGTGGACCTCAGTAAGGCCTGTTTGATTCTTAATCCAATCAAGTTGAAATGGAGATTTTGCCATCATAAAAAGCAAGCCTGTCTTCTGCCAGGGACTTTGGACAGCCCTGACAAAGCCTTCAGCATCTTGTTCTGTGCCAAAGCTGACCACAACCAAATGAAGTTATTGACAGTACCTTGGCCATCTGGCCTCAGCATCCTATAAAGAACTGCTGGGTGTTTCTTAGCACTAACCCAATGGGAGCTTCATGATCCCAGGTGGAGGCCTGGCCCTCAAGGTAGTTTGTAAGTGAGAGCTGAATCTGGAGACTCACATCTCTTCACATGGCTCTCAGACCCCAACATACCCTTAAGGGCCCCGCACTGCTCCTGCAGCTCATGAAACTTTCAACAATGGCTTCTCCTATCTTTCCCACAGAAAGAGTCTATGATGTCCAAGAGTAATGATAATGTCACTTAAAGACATATTTGCTGATTTATTCATTTCTCCTAATAGTATGCTCCCCACATTCTATAGCCGAGGAGATTCAAGCAAAGAGAAGCAACTTGCCTGAGGCCCACAATGAGAAAGAGAGACTTGAAGTTACACCCAGGAGTCCTGGCTATAGCATCTATTCTCCCAAGAGGCTTTGCACCATGAAAACAGCTGAACTATATCCCATGAGAGTTTTCAAATCTCTAGAGGGAGGGGGTAGAGAGACAGACAGACAGTGCTAATGGTTCAACATTTTAGTGTACTTAATTTCATCCCAAACTAAAGGCTTGTATCTTTTCAGGTAGGACAAATTGCTCAGTGCAAGCCAAGTGTTTCATTCACCCTGTTCTCCACCAGGAAACAGCTATCTGTTCCAATGCCGGAAGCAACACTGGTGCGTGGGATTTCCCAAAGCAAGCACACATGACTCTACCACAGTGACTTCCTGAAAGATGCATATGTGACTCCACCACACTGCCGTTCGTACTGTTGCTCTTTGTGATGTGCAGCATTTCAAGTCCATAGTAAATTGTGTGGGCAAGTCTGGATACCTAGACATTCCAGTGTCTCCTCAGTCAGTCCTGGCTCCTGGCTGGCCTCTCAGCTTGTCCTGAATTCTTCTTCTTGCCTGCATACTATCTTCCATCCTTCAGGATCCAGTTCAGGCAGCCATCAAATACCCTGCAAGCATGTTCCTTGCCTACTTTGGCTGAATTTTGGTACCTAGGACCCATAACATCTATTGCTCTGATGGCCAAAGTCTACTAGCTTGTCTGTGTCCTTCACTGTTAGATCTATAGGTGAGCAGGTGCTGAACTGCTTCTCTATAATCCCAGAGACTAATAACATCTAGTTCCTGATAGGCTTTAAACAATGTTTACCAGGTAGAATATAGAAACCATTTGTGCATGGTAATATCTCCTGTATTGGATTGCCTGCCTTTGGTTGTGTACATGCATACATATGCACCCTCTGTTTATTCCCCACTGCACTCCCATTTCTCTGTCTTACTCTCAGTCTCCATCTTGCTGCAATATAATCATATTCTTGCTGTTAGTAACTCAAGAATCCACTTCCAGGCCCACCTACTCTGCATGCCTATGGACCATGCCTGTGGACTATGCCTGCGGACCATGCCTATGGATCATGTATGCCTATGGACCATGCCTGCGGACCATGTCTGTGGACTATGCCTGCGGACCATGCTTATGCACCATGCCTATGGACAATACCTATAGATCATGGCATTTGCTTTTCTAGGATTCTCAAGCTACTCCTTTTTCGACATTTCTCTTCTCAACTAGATTGTCAGCCTTATGGAGACAGAAGCCGTATGGCTCCCAGTAGGCGCCCTATCACTGTTTGTTTAACAAATGAACAAACAAAATGAATCTAAACAGGTGCAGTTTAGAGTTCCCTAAGGAACTCAGAAAGACAGGACTTCCATTTGCAGCCAAACTCTCTGATGGCCACCCAGAAAGAGTGACAATGGAGGACATCTGAGGACATCCACCTCAGATGTCAACTCTGTTCCAGCATAAGCCTGAGAGCAGAAACCTCATCAACTTTGTGACCCTGTACCTCCCTTGTTCCATCCATCCCTGCCTCGTTCCTATTATGTAGCTATGTAACTCAGGCCTCTTTGAGGCAACAGAAACCTGACAAGCTTAGAAACAAACCTTATCTCCTACAATATGCAAAATTCTATTCTCAACACTCAACACTGAATATTTTGGGACTAGATCAGCGTACAGAATTCCCAACAAGTTAGCAGGCACTTCTACAGACGACTCTCCCCTGGACTCCAGGTCTGCTCTCTTTTTAAAAGATCTATTTATTTGTGTGTGTGTCTGTGTGGATGTATGCTATAGCCACGTGTGTGCATGCTGAAGAGGCTGGGATAGGGTGTCAGGTTACCTGGAGCTGGAGCTGCAGGGATACTGGGAACTGAACATGGGTCTCCATAAGATCACCAGCCATCTCCCCAGCCCCGGTCTGCTTCTCTCTCACTCCGTGAGGACACTACAGGGAGAGGTTGAGTTTTGAGTTCTCAGTCCCCAGACTGCCCCCAGAAGCCATTTCAAACGATGCTATGCGTGGAGGAAGAGAAGGGGTTGGAGGCACATACCCTCTAGGAATCCCCACGAGTTCAATTGCCCCAGATCTATCGGAACCCATCTGTTTGGGGCTTATATGAAAGCACGATCACATGATTCATTAGACCCCTGGTCATTGGTGATCAACGTTAAGAGTCCATCCTGCCCCCTTCGCTAGGGAAGAGAGTGGGGGGGGGTGAAAAGCTCCAGTATTCCCACCTATCCCTGCCCCAGTCTTTCTTGGATCCAGACCCTTTCTGGAAGCTACTTAGAGGCTGCCAGCCACCAGCCATCTCATTAGCACACAGGACACTCACGCATCACTTCAGAGATTCTTAGGAATTATATGCCAGGAAACTGGGACAGCGTTTAAATGTATAAACACCTTGTTATAAATCACAGTATGACAACTCACTAAGCAAAAAGCTGGAAGATAATGCCTCGAATAGTGAAACCACAGGCAAGGCAGAGCAACACAAGGTGAGGGCCGGAATTCCTGTTTTCTCTCTTCTCCAAATCCTGTTCCACCTCATTGTCTCAGAACAGCTTACTTCACGCAGCAGGAGCCAAAGCAGCCTGTCATCTTGGCACTCAAATGCAAGCACCCCCTCAGCCAGGGCTTGAAGTGGACGTCCTGGAGAAAGGCTGGACTTGGCCTGGTTCAGGTCACCTGAGCATGTCCAGAACCAATCACCAGGACCAATGGCTGAAGAACCTTTGTACTTGGGTCTGGGGTCCATTATTAGGAAGGGATGGGTATAGTAGAGATCATGGCCTCAGGGGAGTTCTTAGGACTAAGTTAAGGGGCCACCAGAATTTACTGTTCTTACATCTCTCAAAATCCAGAACTCTGATCTGTGGTGTGAACTCCCAGTAGCATCCTTGACTGGTGTCTTTAGGTAACTTCCTTCAAGTCCAAAACACCTCTAGTCCTCTAATGATTCTCCTTCTGCTGCAGCATAGGTTCTCAACCTGTGGGTCAAGGCCCCTAGAGTTGCATATCAGATATTTTCATTACAATATTACAATTTATAACTGTAGCAAAACTACAGTTATGAAGAGGCAATGGAAATAATTTCATGTTTGGGGGTCAGCACAACATGAGTAACTGTATTAAAGAGTCCCAGCATTAGGAAGGTTGATAACCTCTGCTCTAGAGAGACCACCAAAGGGCCTGTAGCCAGCTGACGAATAAGGCATAGAACCAGAAGTGCCGTCCCAGCCTGGAGCTCTACAAACACTGGTTATTTTCAACCAGGGACAAAAATTTCCCCCAGGAAACATATGCCAGGGTTTGGGGGACACTTTTGCGGCCTCTACTGGGAGGTGGGTCATGTGCTGCTGGCATTTGGTGGGTGGAGACCAGAAACACCACACTAAACATTCTACCATTCACAGGGCAGCCCCCCACCAAAATCAAGACCTCCCCGGCTCAAATGGTCCTTTATGCGTAAGTCAAGGAGGCCAGCTTTCCAGGAAGTGCTGATGATGCTCCTGTTGGTTAATTTCATGCATCACTTGGCCGGACCACAGAGTCAGAGTCTGGCCACTTGTTTGCTGATGTGTCTGTACCTGCGACTCGGCATGAGATGAAGATTTGATTGACAGATGAGGCGAAGCACACTGCCCTCCCAGTGTGGGTGGGCTTTGTCTGACGTGAACAAAAGACTTGAGCACCCCCAGCTGCCTGCTGAGCTGGGTCGCTGAGGTCTTTTTCTGGGTTTGTAGCCCGCCCGCTCCTGCTAGCGTGCACACCATTGGCTCCCAGCCTCCAGACTTGGACTGCGGTTCCACTAGCTGTTCTCCTGGGTCTCTGGCTTGCCAACTGCAGATTTTGAGACTTCTCAGACTTCATAATTATATCAGCCAATTTCCTATAATCTCATTCCCTCTCCCTTCATGTATGTATATTGTTATATACATACGTATTTTTTTCAATTCCTCTGGAGAACCCTGAGCAACACGATGCAGGGAGGCGCTTCTTACGAAGTTGGGTTCCTAGCACCCATTTCTCTGCTTCATGGTAACTTCACTGTGCAAAGATGGAAGGCGTCTTCTCCAGGCCCTCCATGTTTTGAGTACCATCTTTCTCCATTTTTACCTTTCAAGATAGGGTGCAAAGACTCCCCCAGAGGGCAAAAGGGGTCCTAGATACTGTGAAGTTCTGTGGATCCCCTCTACTCCTAGAATGGCTGCTGTGAATAACTCAGGGAGCAAAGGGGTCTGGGAAGGAATCTGGGAATGGAAACTGAGATGGAGAACCTGTGGCAGGCTGTCAGAGGGGTCCAGACAGACATGGTGGTGTAGGTGTTCTTAATAACGCACTAGGGCTCCAAGCAATGGGGATTGCTTTGTTTTATTTGTTGGTTGGTTGATTGGGTTTAAGATACAGTGTCTTCTTTCCTTTTTTATTGTGGTACTTGGGATTAAACCTAGGACCTTGGCTATACTAGGCAAGCACTCTACCATTGAACTCTCTCCCCAGACTTCTAAATTTTGAGACAGGGTCTTAGCCAAGTTGTCCAACTGTAGCTGGGGCTGACCTTGAACCTGCAATCTCCCTACCTCAGCTTCCTAGGTAGCTGGAATTCTGAGCTTCTCTAACCAGGCTCAATGGCAACAGGGTCTTGAAGAGAGATTTAGATCACACAGCTGTCCCCCCTCTTTTTTCTTTGTACCATCATGTGTTCCCGGTGTTTGTGGATTGATTGAGAAAAATAAAGCCAGGGGCCAAGAGAGAACCTAGGACCACCTGAGCTCTGGATAGACCCAGGACACCTGAACTCTGAGCTCTGGATGTGCAGGATGTGAAAACCCCAGTTCTGATTCAGCTGCAGTAATAAATACCACAGACTAGGGACTCACTGGACTTTCACTTCCCATGGACGCAGAGGCTGAGACATACAGGAAGAGGCATTGACAGACGCACTGTCTTCTCATTATACTCACAGAGCAGGAAGACAGCGCCCCAGATCCGTTGCACACTAGTCCATTCTAAAGGGTTCTATGACTTGACTGACTCCTAACACCACCACATTTGGGAGTACAGCTCCCACATATCAATCTCGGGAGGTTATTAAAACACTCAATCCTTGGGAACAGTTAGGTGACAATACTGCCACTGGCCTGGGGACCACACTCTGAGAAGTACTGTTCACATAGCAGTGCTCAACCCTGGCAACACACTAGCATCCCATATTGTATTTGATGTGATCTGGGGTGATTTGACTTTAAAAAAAAATTAAAAAAACTTCCTATACTTTTGTATGGCAGTTGGTGGAGAACTGTAGTTCCATTGGCCCCGGGGGGCAGAGGACAATGCTCATGCTGTCCCAGTCAGGAGATCATGCAGGTGCAGCTGTGTACCTCCCTGGGAGCTCCAACATTTGCCTCAGCCTTGTTTTACCTTAGCTCAGCCATTTGACACACTCCCGGCATCCCTCATCCCAATCCTCAGTCCTGTGTCCAGTCTAACACTGACAGAGATGGGAGCCGGTCGGCTCACTGTTTCAGTCCCCGTGTGCCAGCCTCACCCATGACCTCTGGATTCCCCCCCCCCGCAATGAACTCTGACCTGATGGGGGGGTCCTGCTAACTTCCTCACTGTTTCAGTCCCCATGTGTCAGCCTCACCTCTGGATTCCCCCACACAATGAACTCTGACCTGATTGGGGGGCGGGGGTCCTGCTAGCTCCCTGACGGTCTGCTCACTGTTTCAGTCCCCTCACCCATGACCTCTGGATTCCCCCACACAATGAACTCTGACCTGATTGGGGGGGGGTCCTGCTAGCTTCCTACCTCCCTGTGACCTGGGTGGTGCCACTCACCTGGGGCTTGCCTCCACATGCGCTTCCAAAGCCCAGCCCACAAGGTTGGCCTTCTACTGTACTGACTTAAGCTTTAATTTAAAACACCAGCAAGTCATTGCAAGGTAAAACCTCACATTTAAATTTCAGAGAGGGAAGCCTCCTTACCCTTTGATGTACACAGCACAAACAGATCATCAAAGGCTGTAATGCTTACCTCAGCACACAGCTCCTGGAAAGAGAAAGCTGTTCTGCCTTCATCATGCCTAATTAGAGCCTGCTTGGGAGTACCTTAGCACTGCCCCACCCCCTGATTTCTCTAGCCTCAGACCCTGGTTCCCCAGCTGCACCCCGCCTTACCTAGTTTCCCTGTTTCCTGCCCCCACCTACAGCGCTTCTTCACTTAATGGCTCAACGAGGACCCTTGGGAGACACGAAGCCCTCTCTCAGGTGCCACCAGCAAGAGGATGGGGGGGGGCGAGTTTGTTCCTTTCTTTCTGTGTTTCTGTTCCTAACAACTTCCAGTGATACTGCTAAGAACACCTCTGGCCCAAGTCGTCATCGTCATCAGCATCAGTCAGGACATGCCAGGCTGTGGTGTTGGAGGACTGACAAGTCCAAGTCCCCGAGAACCCAGCAAAGGCTTTCTTCTTACTTGGATTGTACATTGGAGATATAATACCTTCCAAATTATGGCTTCCAGAGTCCTGTGTCATTGCATAAGAACAGAGAGGTGGAGAAGGCATACTCTCTCTCTCTCTCTCTTTGTCTCTCTCTCTCTCTGTGTCTCTCTCTCTGTCTCTCTGTCTCTCTCTTGTGGTGTCCATTTACATGGGTTTGGGGGTACATGCTGTATGTACTGAGAAGCCACAGGAGAACAAATGAGTCCGAATCCTGTTTTATTACTCTCCACCATGTTGTTTCAGACAGGATTTCTTGCTGAGCCTGGAGCTAGCAGCCAGCCCGGGAGATCTCCTTTCTCCATCCCCAGCACAGAAGGGGTTCCAGGTACACATGTGGCCACACCCAGCTTCTTTTCTGAGTTCTGGGGGTTCCAGTGTAAGCCCTGTGTGTGCAGGTCAGTGAGAGCCCCTGAGAAGAGACATGCCACCCATTGACTGCTCTGCAAGGTGGCATTATCAGTGATTGTGGGGACGTTGGAATGTTGAGGGTCCGGAGCCTAACTTCAGCTAACCTTGGGTTATCATTAGCCCACTTAACAGCCGTTCTTGGTCCCTCCCTGTCTGACCTAACACCTTTCTGACGAAAAGGTAAGACGTTTGGACCACATTAACGTAAGAGGCCACAAACTGCAGCTGAGAACTACAGCAGAGGTCTCGTCTGCTTCGCTTCTGCTCATCTCCACTGGTTGTTTGAAAAGCGCCTCGACCTACACGTTTCTAGTCCTGCTACTGTAAGACTCCATGGGGGTGAAGTTAGGGTGGAGTTACGGCTCTGCAGGTTAAGAGTTCATGTCGTTCTTCCAAAGGACCTAGGTTCCCAGTACTAATGCTTGGAGTCTTACAGCCCCCTGTGACTTCAGGGAACCTGACACCTGATTCTCACCTCCACAGACACCTGTACACACACACACATACACACGCACACACATACACTACTCATACACACATACACACAGAGAGAGAGAGAGAGAGAGAGAGAGAGAGAGATTAAAAAGAAATCTTTAAAAACTTGAACAAGCTGTTAACACGTCAGAGCATGGAATTTAGGGTAACCTAAATCTGTGTTTCAGACCACAGTCACTCATATGGCTCCAGAATAAACCATCCCTTCCCTACTTTGGGGTCAGAGACATGCTTATGCATTGGTAGCTGCAAGTGCTCTTCTTCATGCGGTCACCTGCCTGGCCCTATTCTGGCTCTGAACTGTTCCAACCAGTGACACATCTAACTGGGAACCACCCAGCACTCCAGTGTTAGCTATACCTCTGTTTTCCAGGTGGTGTGGCTCAAGGAACATGCACTGTTTCCATGGCATTGCCCTGGGTTGACTAGAAGATCAGCATTTGAGGGATGGGTGCGGGTTTTGGATGTGGTTTGCC